ACGACTCCACTTGCATCACTGCCAGTGAAAGCGCAGTGGATTTTTGTGGTTTTTGCCCCATTTTGGAGCCCGCCCCACCCAGTGAGTCACCCCATTGCTGGCGGGGTGATGGGGATGGGGGGGAGCCTGCAGGGGGACCCTCCTCTCCCCCCCCCCCCCTTGGCACAGTCTTATCCCATTGCCACAAATAATAAGGATAAAGGAGGTGACCTCCATGGGACACTGAGCACAGGTGGAGTGTGACATTGACATGGCCCTGGTCACGTCCCTTACACCCAGGAATGTGTGTATGTGTGTGTATTTGGGGTGGGGGTGGGGGGCACAAGGACTTTCTGACTGCAGGCCCAAGGAGCCCCCCCCCCCCCCAGCACAGCTGCACCCCAAAGGGCACTGAACCCCATTCACAATGAGGGATGGGGGGAGGGGGGATGAGAACAAAATTTGGGGTTGGTTCCCACAGGGGCAGCACCAGCCCCGGCCCCCCCACCCTCAGGCTATTGCCCAAGGTGCCGGCTGACGCGGGTTTGCGCAACCCCCCCTCGGGTAGGGAAAAACCCAGACAACACAGCGGGGGGAGCACAGGCGTCAGGGGGGGGAACCTGCGTGTCTTGGAGGGGGGGGAGAGTCTGGTGTCTGGGGAGGGGGGGGGGCAAAAATATGGGGTAAATGGGGACCCAGGTGGGGTTAGAAAAGGGTGTTGGGGAGGAATTGGTGTCCAGGTGGGGGCTGGGGATGCGTTGGGTGTAAATAGGGGACAGGTACCAACATGGGGAGGACGCAGGTGTCCAAATGGGTGGAGGGGAGGGAGGGGTTGGGTCCTATTTTCAACACCTGCAGCTGCTCTTGGCAGCAGAAAGGGTCTGGAGAGACCCTTTGTTCCCAGCAGAGGCACAGTCAAGCACCGTTTCCCAGCACTTTAATGAGTGCGTGGTTGGAGAGGTGGGAAACAGAGGGGATACAGGGTGTGTGTATGAGGGGGGGGGGTCAGAAGAGTTCCTCAGCGTTGGGGACGCGGGCGTCCCGCAGTTCCCGCAGCCGCTGCAGCACCTGGCCCAGGCTGTGCTCCCCCAGCTGCCGGTTGTCCCGCGTGCGGATGCTGACAGTGCCATGTTCCTGTTCCCTGCGGCCGACCACTGCGGGGGGACAGCATGGTTTGGGGGTGGAGGGGGAAAAAAGGATGGGTTTGGGGGGAAACAGGTTGGTTTGGGGGGAGAATAGGTTGGTTTGAGGGGGGGAACAGGCTTGCAAGGAAAACAGGTTGGTTTCAGGAGAAATGGAAAATAAGGTTGTTTTGGGGGGAGCAGCCCTGCTTGGCACCCAAACATGTGGGTGCAGCCATGTGCTGTGCACACCCACACCCCCCTGTGCACACACACACACCCAGTCTATGCACACCCACGCCCGCGCTGTGCACACCCACACCTGGGCTGCACCCATGCACCCTCGTGTGGGCACACTCAGACTGTGAGTCACACACACACACACACACACACACTCATGGGAACCCCCTCAGTGCTCCCACACCCACCCATGCCCCCCCCGTTATGTGTGCACACCCACACATGTTCCCAAGCACACCCACGGCAGCCCCCAGGTGTTCATTTGCAGCCTACATTGCACAGTCCTGAGCAGCACCCCTCAAACAGAGGGTCCCTGGGGGGGGGGGAGGGGGGGAGTCTCAAAGGATTCCCAGGGAATTCCCAGGGGATCCCAAAGGGTTCCCAAGGAGGCTCTGCGGGTGTTCCCAGCCACTTCCTGATGCTCTCACCCCACAAATCCCAGTTCCCGTCGGGATGCGGATGCGGAGGTGGGCAGGCAGCCGGGAACCACTGACTCAGTGCTGCCACTCCCATGCCCGGGGGGGGCACGGGGGGGGACACATAGCCAGGGGGGAGTGGGGTTGACAAGGAGCATAGAGGTGATCCTTTCCCCCTTACCCAGCTGGAAGTTGTAGTGGGTGAGCTGTGCCCGGCGGATCTTCCTGCCCAGTGTGGCACCTGCATCAGCATCCAGGTCAGCCATCACGCCGTCCCGCCGCAGCATGGCATGGACCTGCCAACATCAGGTCAGCAGGGATGTGGGGGACAAAAGGGGACATGCAGGGCCATTGGGGACAAACTCACTTCACGGGCATAGCCCTCAGTATCAGGTGCCTGCGGGATCACCATTGCCTGCAGTGGGGAGAGCCAGAGCGGCCTGCAGGGAAGCAGCTGGGGGTAAGGGAGGGAAGGGGTTTGGGGTGTCCTTGAGTCTGGGGTCTCCTGGAGATGGGACTATGTGGGACTGGGGTGCACCCAGGACTGAAGGTGCTCCCCAAGAATTGGAGATGGTTTGTGGGATGCCCCTGGAAATTAGAGGAGTTGCGTGGAGATACAGAGGTACTCTTGGGAATTGAGGGTAGATGGGGGTAGGAGTGCCTCCAGGACGCCCCCAGGGACTGGGGGTGCTTTGGTCCCTCACCATTTGCCACCGCAGCTCTCAGCCATCACAGCCACCATGCGCTCAACGGAGCCCAGCACTGCGCGGTGGATCAGCACCGGCCGCGCCGTTCCTCCAGCTGCACTGTGGGGGCACAGCATGGGGGGCTGTTGGCAGGCACTGCGCCTCCCAGCACAGCCCATCTCTCAATCCCCCTGTCCTACATATGATCCCAATCTTGCCCCTGCCCCCACACCTACCCTTGAGCCCTTCCAGCCCCAATCCTGATCTCTCCAATGACTCCAACCCTATGCCCTCTAGTCTCTATTCCTGTCCCTTGGTCCCTGATCCATCTCCACCCACCATCCCATCCCCAAACCTGCCCCATTCCCAATCCCCTCCCTGCCTCCTCAATCGTTAATCCAGCTCCCCTTCCCCTACCTGGCATACTCTAGCCCAAACCTCTCGGGCATCTGGAAATCCAGCTGAATGGTGCCACACTGGTGATGCCTCCCCAATGCATCCTGGATCCGGATATCAATCTGCAAAAAGGGAAGGTAGCAGGGGTGGCTCTTCCCACCCTGACATACGGGACACAGAGGACAACAACGGGTCCTTAGAGACTCCCCCCACTCCCCTGCAACGTGATGCAAAACCAAACTCACCTTGGGGCCGTAAAAAGCGCCGTCACCCTGACTCAGCTCCCAGGGCTCTCCAAAATCTTGGAGGCTCTTCTCCAATTGCTGCAAGAGCAAACGGGAAGGGGGAAGGGGGACATGATGCGATGCTTTGGATGCAATGCGTAGATGTGATGCTTGGAGGTGGAGGGGGCAAAACCAGCACACGATACTCAGGGTGTTGCAAAGTTGCTCAGGTTGCAAAGGAAAGACACGTAGGATGTGATGCAGGAGATGCAATGCCAACACTGTCCCACCTGCTCAGCACGGTCCCAAGTTGCAGCATCCCCCAGGAAGCCATCGGGGCGCGTGGCCAGAGCCATTTGGAAGGAGAAGCCCAGCGTGGCGTAAACGGAGCGCACAAAGTCCAGGCAGGCACCGATCTCTGCCTCCAGCTGTGGGACAACGCTGTAAGCAAGGAAATGGGGGACACAGAAGGGACACAGAGGGGACACAGAAGGAACACCCACCTGCTCCAGTGCACAGAAGATGTGTGCATCGTCCTGCTGGAAGCGCCTCACACGTGTCAGCCCGGTCAGGGAGCCGGGGGGCTCGTTGCGATGCAGCACCCCAAAGTCAGCCAGGCGTAAGGGCAGCTCCCGCCACGATCGCGGCCGGTGGGCGAACATGAGGCTGCCAACAGATGGACAGATGGATGGATGACAGCCCTGCTGGGCCCCTCACCACCCCTCCAGCATGCTCAGCTCACCAGTGGGCCGGGCAGTTCATGGGTTTGAGTGAGAGCGTCTCGGTGCCGGTGGTGAAGGAGAACATATGGGCGCTGTAGTGCTGCCAATGCCCCGAGAGCTCCCAGAGACGTGGGCTGAAGATGTTGGGGGTCACCACCTCACTGAAGCCCCTCGCCTGGTACTCGCTCTGTGGGGATGGGATGGAGACATCAGCCTATCCTCAGGGAGCTGCGTGCACCCCATGGTGGGGTTTGAGGGGCAATGAGGCATGGCACTGTCCCCAGCAGTTTGCAGAGGAGGGTGACAACGCTGGAGCAGCCCAGGGGGCTTTGAGGCCATACCCTGATGAAGTCAATGAGGGTGTTATAGATGTGGGCTCCACGGGGCAGGAAGAAGCAGCTCCCAGGGCTGAGTGCGTGGAAGAAGAAGAGTTCCTGTTCCTGTGAAGTGGGACACGTCACTGCAGAGGCCATCAGTAGTCAGTTCCCAAGAACTGTTCTACGCAGGGCTCACCTTCCCAATGCGCCGATGGTCACGTAGTGCAGCTGCATCCTGTGCCTGCTGCCAGGCTTCCAGCTCCTGCGTGCTGGGAAAGGCGATGGCAGCGATGCGTTGCAATGAGAGGCGGCCTGAGGGACCCTGCCAGAATGCAGCCGAGCTCTGCAGGAGGGACAGAGGGGGGTTACGGGATGCCCACATCCCCTCAGCCCACATTCCCTGTGCTGCACCTACTGTCAGGATGCGCAGTGCCCCGATCAGCCCTGTGTGTGGGAGGAGGGGACCGTGGCACAGCTGAAGCAGTGGGCCACACCTGCAGGGATGGATATGGAGGGGGGGGGGCTGAGTCACCATTCTGCCTCACACAGCCCTTGATGGGGCCACTGTGCTCACCTATACACAGTGGTCATTGGGGACGTCACCTCCTCCTCAATTCGCTGCAGCTGGAAGCTGTTGTGCTGTGGGGAGCGAGGCAGGTGACGATGACATGGGTGACATCAGCCTAAGTGACACCAGCAGAGGTGACACCAGTGATGGTCCAACTGGGAGGGTGCCACTGCCCTCGGGGAAGGGACAGCCAAAGTCTCACCTTGAAGAGCTCCAGCAGCTCCTCACGGGTGGCCTCAAGGCGTTCAAAGCGGTGCTGGGAACGGGCAAAGGCCATGCAGGCATCCTCCAGCACTGGCAGCTCACTGCGCTGCACCGTCCTGCGGGTGCAGGGACACGCTGGGGATGTGGGCAAGGGGCTCCATGGGGCAGCATCCCCACAGCCCTGTACCTGTCACCCATGTGGGCGTCGCAGAAGAAGCCATCCTCAGTGGCGACCGTACTGCAGATCGTGGCTCCATAGAACTGCTCCACTGCTGCTCCCAGGACGAAGGCGCTGGACTGCCAGAAAGCCTGAGGATACAGGAGATGTGGGGGACGAAGCAGATGTGGGGGGATGCAGCAGGGATACAGCGGATATAGGAGGGACACAAAAAGCATGGAGGACACTGGGGATGCGTGGGACCATGGGGGGTTGGAGATTCATGATCCTTGAGGTCCCTTCCAACCCTGGCAATTCTGTGATAGCAGGATAAGGGGACACCGTGGATCTGAAGAACACTTAGGGGACAACAGGGAGCACAGGGGGGAACTGGGAATACAGGAAACATGGTTGACATCAGAAATACGGGGCCATGGAGCATGCCTGGGATGGCAGGAGGGGGGTGTTAGGGTTAGGGATGGGGGCTGTAGGGAACACAGCGGGGACGTGGCACTCAGGAACACGGATTGGTGAGCACAGTGGGGATGGGCTGTGGTTGAACCTGAAGGTCTTTTCCAACCTCATTGATTCAATGACACGGGGAGCACGGAGGAGCACTGGGGGGGGGGGGGGGGGGGGGGGGGGGGCACAGCGGGCAAACGGAGATGTGGGGACACGGGGTGCGCAGGGCGCAGTGAGACTCACAGCGCGGCCCTCCGGCGCGGTGAAATCGAGCAGCTCCAACTCCGCGTCGCTCTCAAGGGGCCGCTTGAGGTCCCGCAGCTCCCCGTTCACCCGGGCCACCACCGCCGAGCGGCGCCTGCGGGGACAACGCGGGGACAGAGCGGGGTGTCGGGAGCCCACGGGGGAGGCGGAGGGGGGGGGCGGGTCGTACCCCAACTGCTCGGCCACGTGGAGCGGGGTGCTGCGCAGCGCCCGGCCGGGAAGGAAGCGACCTCCGGGCAGCGAGATGCGGATCGGGGTCCCTTCTGCGGGTCCGCTTCCATGGCCGCTTTCACGCTGCTCGCGGTCCGCTTTCAACCGCTCGAAGAGCCGCAGCCGTTCGGCGAAATGGGGCTGAAAGCGGAGAAAAGGGGTCAAGGGGTGCGGACCCCAAAAAATGGCGAGGAGGAGGGGGAGGGATGCTGAGGTTGTATTGGGGAGGGGGGGGGGGCTCAGCGCACCCGGTACCGCCGCTGCGACCCCCCCAGCAGCAGCAGCCGCCGCATCGCGGGGTCGGAACCGCCCCTTCCGGCAGCGGGGGGACGCTGCGGTCCTCCCCCGGGGCGGAGCTCCGCGATCGCGGCCTCGGGGTGACGAGATCCGTCCCTCCGACCTCAAATCGCCCCCAAAAGCTTTCGGGATGCTGCTGGGCTCCCCCCGCTTTTGGTCCCCAAAGCGCCGCCATTTTGTCCTCTTGTCCTCCCCCCCTCCCCTCCCGCGGACCCCCATGTGCCGCCATCTTGTGTGCCCACAGCCGCTCTGAACGTCACCCCAAAATGTCCCGAATCCCCCTCGACGCCGTCACTTTGTGCCCCATACATCACGTCCCACGCAACGTCCCGCTCCGAACGCTTCAGACCCCGACGTCGCCATTTTGTGCTCCTCAGGGCTGCTGTCCCGCGTCGATGGCCCGAATGGCCCCAAAATGCAGCCGTGGGGCGTTCCTACAGCCGCCCCCCCAACAAAACGCTGCCGTTCTGTGGTCCTACGTCCACCAAAACAACCGCAATGCTGCCATTTTGTCCTCCTGCAGTTGGACCCCCCTGGCGCTGCGGACCCCCACGTGCCGCCATTTTGTGCGGTTCCCAACGTGATGCAAAACGCCCCAAATCTCCTCAATGCCGTCATTTTACGCTCCTGCGGTCACCCAGCCCCCACAAAACACCCCAAAGGTTGAAGCTCTGCCGTTCTGCGGTCCTACAAACGGCCGCCTACAAAAACCACCCCAATGCTGTGGGCCTCAACGCCGCCATTTTGTTCTCCTTTGGCCGCTGCCCCATACAGACATCCCAAAACCCTGCAGGCCCCATTTTGCTCTTCTGCCCCCCAAACTCCACTTCACAACCCCACCAGCAGCACCGGGAGCCATCAATACGCCCATTGTAGGGATGGGGTCTTCTCTTTCCCTGTAAACATTGGGTTTTGCCATCCCCCAGGCTGACCCTGGGGCAGCAGCGATGTCCACGTCGGGGTTCAGAGCCACATCTCGGTGCCATTTGGTCCTTTGGAGCGGCCGTGCTCCACCTGCAGCCCTCAGATGGCGATGCCAGAGTGCTGAAGCATCATTCAGCTGAAGGAAAAGGAGCCAGAACAGCACAAAGAGGGAAAAACTGGAATCAGATGTAAACAAAAACCTGAGATGCTGAACGGGGTGAAAGCATTGCTCCTTTCTGGGTGGGAGAGCAGCGCTGGTGGGGATGGAGATCGATGGGGCTGCTCTGGGAGGAGGAGGAGGAGGAGAAGGAAAGCAGCAGCTGCCAGGCCCCAGGGGTGCAGCCGTAGCAGAAGGAGGGTTACAGAGAGGATGACACCAATCCAACGGGTGTTTTATTAATGGAGGAATACACATTTCAGAACGCCCTGCAGTTCCACCGCCGCTTCCTCCAACGCTTGTTGCCCTCTTGCACCGACCATGCGAGCGTCGCCGTGACAAACCCGGCTCTGCTGAACAGGGAAAAGCAAACAGCCCTATTTACAGTGCTTTGGGAACAACAGCAGCTCGCCCTCCTGCAGCTCAGAGCACACCTGGTTGTTCTGCAGGGTTAAAAGCACACAAAAGCAAACACGAAAACCCCCCGTAATGCACATCATCCAGCAGGCGGTGGTGAGAACTGAGAGCTGCCCGGCGCCTGTGTGTCCATCCGTGTGTCCATCCATCCACCCGTGTGTCCATCCATGTGTCTGCATTCCCCTCTGGCTCCGTTTTGGGAACCACGAGACACGCTTTATTTATCATTACTTTATGTAAAAAATAGGTGTTTTATTTTTCTTTTGTTTTCCTCATCAGGTGAAATACAAAAAGTATCGCTGGGGATTGAAATCACAGACATGGGGAGAAAGGAAAAAAAACAAAAAACCAACAACACCCCCAAAATGCCTTCATGTCTCCAAATCACTGCGTGGGTTTTACTGTGCAGTGGTGCCGTCCTTAAATGCAATTTTAAAGCAACAGCACAGAGTGAAGTGAGAAACCAAAGAACCACGCAGCTTCCACTGTTAAAATACCTCATTTCTTTTGGCTTTTCTTTACAGGATGGTTTCCCTCCTCACGAGTCCTTGTGTTCCTCCCAGCCTCAGAGCCATGGGGATGCCAGCAGCAGTCAATCTCGTATGTTGGATGTGGAAATCATTGCTTGAAACAAAAGCAGCAGCAAAGTCATTCACATTGTTGTATCCAGGGGGAAAGGTGGGTTGGGTGAGCACTGCAGCCATAGTCAGACCTCAACGTGGGGCTCAAGGGATGCGATGGGGCTCCATGCTTCAAGATGAGCAAACCAAGCTCTGGGTTTCCCATCCAGACCCGGAGCCAAAGACATTCAGAGCTGTGATTCAGTGCTTTGAGGCACAGCGAAAGGACGATCAGCCCCGAGCTCCCCGTGCTGAGCACCTCACAGCCACACACACCGCGTGGATGGAACCGAACACAGTCCCCAGCACACACAGCAAAGAAATGATCTGCCATTTTCTGGTTTTGTAATCTTTATGTAGATATTTAACCCTACACCCTTATCAAACATATATAATGAGTTCTACCAACTAAAAAAAAAAAAAAAAAAAAAAAAAAAAAAAAAAAAAAAAAAAAATAATAATAATAATAATAAAATAAAATAATCAAGTAAAATTCCAACTTCATATAAAAGCCCCCTGTGTGCGGCCACAGCGCCGTCCCCATGCTGTGTGCAGGAGGGGGGAGCTGACATCGCCCCATCGCTCTGCATGCAGGATCTCTCTTGTACAGTCTGTTTGTCAACAATCAAAGAGATGTCATTAAAAAGTGATTATATACACACATACAAAGTCAACAGTGTTCCCAGAACAAAAATAAAATAAAATAAAAACCCAAACAAACGACAGACAATGGATTTTTCCCAAACGTGGTTAAGATCTACAGGAGGGCCCACGACGGAGCTGAGGACGCGGTGCTGGGGTGGGTGTAGGGGATGCATGCTGGCCCTGGTGCCGCACCACGCCGAATTCCCTGCTCTTTTGGGGGCAGAAAGCTGCAGGGAGCTGGGGAGCACGTGGGTCAGTTTGCAGCTGGACTGAGGTTCCTGGGGTGAGCGTGGCCTGGGGCAGCTTTGGGGCATGGCATGGGGTGTTTCTGCAATGCCCAACGCTCCCAGCTACCACCCCAGGAAGGGACAGAGCTGCAGGCGCCAGGAGAAGGGGGAAAAAGGTGGCTCGTCCCCAAGAAAGGCACAGGAAGGGTTGGTGTTTGTCACAGCACGAAGCGCTTGGACCCTTTATTCATCCCTCCCAGCAGCCGAGCTCCTGCCCCGACCTCTCCTCGTGTCTGACACGGGCTGAGGACTCGGGAGGCAAAGCAATTTGGTAATCAGCTAAAAGAACATCCCAACGTCGCGCATTTGATCTTTCTTTTTTTTTTTTGTGTTTTGTTTTTTTTTTTAAACTACTACTGGAAGTTTTATTACAACAGCAATACTTCTTTTCGTTAAAACATTTTCTCTAGTCTCGCACCAAGGGGGTGGCTTAGGAAATAAACAACCAAAAAATACAGAACATTTAATTTAGGTAAGTGTTATATGGGACTTGTTTTTTGGAATGGGGGAGGGGGGGGAAGAGGTTGGGGGGGCTGGAAGGGGTCGAGGAGGGGGGAGAAAAAAATAAAAGAAAAATCAAGTGAAAGCGCTACTCCACTGCTCCTACAACGTCCCAATACCTTCGCTCAAGAGATCGGCGTCTGCTTCAGTACCTGGGGGGGAAGAAGGGGCGTTTTGGTGCAAAGAAAGGGGAACCCCTTCCAAAAGTCGGCCGCGGCCTCTTCAGGCTGTGAAAGGGGTCTCTGTTCATGAAGGGCTCCCGGGGCCTGAAATCTGCCCGCGGGGTTCTGACCATCATCCCTCCGCGGTTCGCACCGTCTCTGTGAGCGATGGGGGTGACGCTGCGGGTCGGCCCCAGCTGCTCCCTGCCCAGGGAAGCCATGCCCACCCCTTCGCGGACACGGCCCAGGGGCGCGCCGCCGTGGTCCCGCTGGGGCTGGCTTGGCTCCCTGGGTCCCGCGTGCACACCGAAATGCTCTTTCATCGTCCCTTGGTGAACGGTACCGTGCTCCTTAGGGAAGGCGCTGCCGCCATGCTCCACGGCGAGGGGGGGAGCGGGGAAGGGCACGCCGCCGTGCTCCCCGGCTGGCGGTGGCTGCGATGGGAAGGGGACGCCGGCGTGCTCCCCAGGGACAGGGGGTGGTGGGGGTGTGGGAAAGGGGACCCCGGTGTGCTCCACGGAGGGAGGTGGGGGCACGCCGTGGGGCAGCGAGAGAGGAGAGGAGGTTTCTTTCGAGAAGGGGTTGGCGTGATCCACGGGCGGCATGTGGGGAGGGACCGAGTGATCCCTCGGGAAGAGGCTGCCGTGATCCTTGGGTGGCGCAGCTGGGGGACCGGCGGGGGGACCAACCGGATCCCTTGGGAAAGGAGTCCCGTGCTCGATGGGAGGAGGCGCGATGGGAGGCGGCATGTGGTGGTCAAAAGCAGGGCTGAAGTTGTTTGTTCTGAAATTGTTGACGCTCTCCTGAAATGGCGGCACGCGCTCCTTGTACTGCGCCTGGAAGCCACCCATGCCTGGCAGCTCCGACGCGCTCGAGGGCCCGTTGTCAAAGGCGCTCCCCGTGTTGCTTATCTCAAACCACCCTGACCTGCTCGCCTCTCGTCCGTGTCCTCTGCTTCCTTTCCCCAGCACTCGGATGGACTCCACAGTCTGGATGGGCTCCCCGGACATTCCCCTGCTCGATGCATTGTGGTAGCCCAGTGTCTCAATGGGGGCTCCTTTCTCCTCAGTGCTGTCAGGCAAATCCAAGCATGACGACGACACTCTGGTCTCTATGCGGTAGTGCTCCTCTTGCTGCTGCTGCTGCTGCTGCTCTCCTTTGGAAGCACCAGCCTGGCTGTGGCTAACCCCTTCATTTGAACTACTTTTAGGAATCTGGCTGAAATGCTTCTCCTCAGAGGGTTTACGAGAGGCATTTTTGAGCATGTTCTTGAATTCGATCGTGGATGTGGCAGAAATGGAAGAGCTCAAGGACTTGTCCACACCTGGTGCGGGCTGTCTGCCTGCAGGGCTGGGAAGAGTGCTCTGAGAAGAGAAAAGTGACCGGTGGGGAATCGAGTGGGGTGAGTCCGGGTACTGCTTCTGTGAGAGGCCAGAGTGCACCACGGGTTTGGGCAAGTTGTTATGATTGGAGTCAGGTGTGAAAAAAACATCGTTCTTACTGGGTGAAGGGGACCCATCCGAGGTGGAGTCGTTTCCTCTGAGGCTGTAGCTCCCGTACATCCCCGGAGACGTTGAGAGCGTGTCGCAGCTCTCGCTCTGATCGAGAATAGACCTCATTGACTGAGGAAATGATGACTTCACACTAAAATCCTGCGATCTTTGACCATAGCTTGGCAGGACTGGCTGATACTCTGCACCTTCTGATAGTTTACTTGATTTCAAAATAGACTTGGCCGGCTTCTTCTCCAGGTTCAACATAGCAGACGGCGGTGGCCCAGAGTAATCAAAGTCACGGTAATCTTCATCTTCCTGAAAAGATGTGTCTGGATAAAACTTCTCCTGAGAGGAGTCCATTAAAGAGGAGGGTATTTCCATGCTGTCTGCAGACTGCTTGTACATTCCGGCTGGAGAATCTCTGCCGAGGCTGAAGGGCCGGTAGGTATGCACAGAATTGGAAAGTTCTTGGGGATATCCATCATCTCTGCTCTGAAGAGGTGACCTCGTGCTGCTGGGAGTAGAAGAACCGGGGCTCATGATTTTTGAGAGCAAAGAAATAGTGTCAACATTACTGGAGGTCGGCTTGTCCATCATCTCATCCTGGGTGGGTGTCCCACTTCGCTCGTCGCGGACTGGTGTTCCATCCACGTTGTCCATGGAAGTGCTGGTAGGACCACGCTGAAAGTCAGAGGAGTGACTTTCTGGTGCGATGTTGGACCCTAAGCTGCTTAAAATTGGAATATTCAAGTTTAGACCACTGAAGCCAGGATTTCCCTTCAAGAAATTGTGAATCTTCATCTCCAGGCTTGGAGAAGGGGGCTCTGATTCCAGCTTCGCCTTTGAAATTTCAGAGGATTGACTCATTGAAGTGTCTGTTGTTAAAAGGGAAGAAGGACTGGGAGGATGGGAACTGGAAAATCCCAGGGAATTGGTGGGTGGCTTAAAACCAGAACTTGAAAGCCCTGCGGTATGTCCAACAGGAGCCTTATTAACTGAAGTTGAGGAAACCTCAGCAGCTGATGAATTTGGAGAGTAACCAAAGTTTTTGGATATGAAAGACTGAGTGTTGGAAGGAATATTTCTTCCCTTCAAGCAAGGAACGGTTGTGTTGGCTGGTGATGCTGAAGTGCTCTGTGATGCAGTTTCACTTGACTGAATGGTATTTCCAGCAACACTCTGAAGTAAAGACGACAAACCTGGAAAAGAGAATGCTGCGTTCAGATATTCAGGTAAGAGTCAAGATAACTTCAACTACTGTCAAGGGAAAGATTTCTCTGTTTTCAATACAGATGTTCCTTAGAAGTACTTCATGTTTTAGCCCGGAAAATGACTGGATTTTGCTGCTTTAATATTAATGTTAGTAGCCACAGAGACACAAACCTTTGCCAGAGGTTTAAATTAACCTGCACATTAGAATACACAACTGAATAAGTCAGGTAATAACTCGTCCTGGCTTTGTGGCTCAGAGGCACACATGCTGCAGGACTGACCACTGTTGCAGAGGCAACAATAGCGCTTTTAAGAAGTTTTTCTGCTCTAACTTTTAAAAAAGCTCTCTCAGAAGTACAAAGAAACTACAAAGACCTCATTTGGTCTCCTGTCACGTTCAGCATTCTTCCATAAGGTGCTCTGGATAACTGCCCTTAGCTCATGTCAAAAATACGAAGATATACACCAAGACAATAAAACTGCCCCACTGACACTTGTTATCTAAAAAAGTCACCTACATTTGCCAAAAGTGGAATACATTCCAAGTAAGTTTTTTCTCCCTTCATCTCTGCTGTAGGACTGCACAGCAGCACATGTCAGTACTGACATTGCCATCCAGTGGACAGTCAGACATTCACTCAAAATTCACTCCAGTACCTTGCAGTGCTGGTGCAGTCTGAGTCTGGGTTTTGGATAGAGCAGACAGAATACTTTCAGGAGTTATTTCCACTTTGGAGAGAATATTTGCTAAAGGATTGGAAGGAGCAGATGGAGTCCCCATGGCAGGAGTTTTCAGGCCACTAGTAAGAGTTGTGGGGCTTGTTGGGGTTCCTGGAGAAGGTCTTGATGCAGGACTGACACCTAGGATGGAAGCATACACCACTCACGTATGTTGATTTGTTAACAGGTGCTCTTTTGGCTCATGTTTTCCACACACACAACTGCAACAGAGTTCCATGCACACAGAGAGGCTCATGAAGCCAACAATCATGTTAGAGAAATTCAACCAGGTCTTTAAGTAACAACTAAATCATGTTTATTTCGCAACCACTTTCCTTTAATAAAAGATTACAAAACAAAACTCCATTCCCAGCACCTCAAAGTCAAAAACACCTG